GGGGGGGTCTCAGCCAGTGGGCTCTGTGATTAAGACTTCTGCCCGACAGGTGATAATTAAGCAGTCAGGCTGAGCGAGAGCATCTGTGCACGGAGAATAATGAAGCCTGAAATCACTCAAAAAAGAAAAAGAAAAAAAAGGAAGATAGGAAACAGGAAGGAACAGAGGAACGTAAGAGAACAAAGAAGGTAAAGAGAAAGAGGAGGGGACACAGGAATGGAAAGAACAGGAAAATGGTAAAGACAAAGTGAAACAGGAAGGGGATGAAAAAGAAGAAAGGGAAGAGAAAAAAGGGAAAGTAGAAGGGGAAAAGAAAATGAAGAAGACAAAGAGATAGAGAAAGGGAAAAAAGAAACGGAAAGAAAATGAGGAGGAGAAAGAGGAAATGGAAAATAAAGGAGAAAATAAAGAGGAAAAGGAAGTAAGCAAAGAGCAAGAAGAAGGAAACAGAAATGGAAATGTAGAAAGAAAGATGAAGAGACAAAGGAAAAGAAAGAGGAAGTGAAAAAAGAAGGGGAAGAAAGAGAAAAAGGCAAAGAAAGAGGCAATGAGAATGAGGCAATGATAAAGAGGAAAGGAAACATAAATGGAAAGAGAAGAATGAAGAGACAAAGGAACAAAAACTGAAATAAAAAGAAAGGGAGAAAAGAGGAAGAAACAAAAGCCAGAGCAAGTTAGGAAGGTAAAGAAGGTAAAAAGAGGACCAGGAAAAGGAAAGAAAGAAAGAAAGAAAGAAAGAAAGAAAGAAAGAAGTGAAATAGAATACCTCCTGTCCTCCCACATGCATGAGTCAGGATAGTTACAAGTCTGCTTCATAGACCAACCCCACTCAAGCGGAAGCAGCAGGTTTGATGCAATGAATTCCCATGTTTACTCACGCTTGCATGGTGGTGGTCGCAGTCTGGAAGCTAAACATGTTCTCTTTAGGGAACCAGCTGTTCGTGTGATCCTCTGCAAACAAAAAGAGATAGCCTAAGCAAAGGTAACAGGTACGGTGTAAATCTCACAATGATTTAACCAATAATCCACCATTCAGTGATGGTGATCGTCTCCTTACCTCGATCTTCAGAGGACACACGGTCCTCACTGTACATCCTCTCTAGCTTCTTGTGCTGTTTGCCACCACCGTGAGGTGACGTCTCAAGATCTAGAGAGCGCTGGCTCTGGCAGTGTGGCCGAATGCAGTCCACACAATCCGGCGTGCAATCCTCCCTTGACCTGCTCCGCCTCGACCCCCAGTCCCGGATGTTATGGGCGCTCCCTGAGCTCTGCAAAGGTTGTGTCAGAGGTGCATGGCTGTAGTGATGCTGGTGGGTAGGGCCGTTGTTTCCACGATGGTGGCTTCCTCGATGATGGCTGCCACGTAAACTGGAGGGAGCATTGGTTCTTGGCGGTTCTGTGGTCCTCTTCAGCACCTCTAGCTCCAGGCACTCCTTGCTTCCCTGGCCTCCAAGCATATCTCGCTCCCTAGTAATGGTGTAGACGCGAGCTGGCTTCAAAGAGCTCTCTACACACCTTTGATGATGCTGGTCCTCAGAAGAAAGGCTGCGTTCTATGGAGAGACGACACTTGGAACTGGTAGGAAGGGGTGCAGACTGGCTGCCTGGCTGAACCTCTTCTTGACTGGGCTTGACTATGAGAGTGTGTTGGGAGTATGGCTGGAGGCTGTTATTGTTGTTCAGTCGGCTGATGTCTGGGGAGTCTGTGTCTTGACCAATGAAGGTGTCAGATAGCAAGTGATCTGGAGTGAGAGACAGAAAGAGACCAAGAAAAACAGATTTTTCATCGTCTTGTCTCGGCAAAGCAACAGGTGCCAATCAAGCTCTCCTGTAATGATCAATTAAAGGATGACTGGATGAGTGGACAGAAGTGGAATTAATGTTGAAACTGAAGGATGATGCTTTCTTATGGCAAGTACTAATACATTCATGCACTTCACAAGGCAAACAGGAGGAGAAAAAAGACTTCAGGACAAATGAAGATAGGGCATGAGGTGGAATGGACCTAACCTGATCCGTTGCGGTTCTCAGGGTGCGTGTGAGAAAGGTACTCTCCAAATGCTCGAGCTGCTCTGCAGAGACACAAACAGGAGACCAAATCAAAGAATGGAGATAGAACTCTCTGTCTTGATGTACTTTCACATGCTACTGCTTTTAGTTCTCAGTAGTCATTCTGAATCTAGTTGTTGAGTCTGATGTCATGCATCACAGTTTCCAGGTCCAAATGCTCTTTCGATCTCAAAGCAAATAACAAATGGTGCTACTATAAAGTTACAGACAGTGTGATGTGGTGCTACCGAAAAATCCACTTAACCTATACTAAAATCTCAGCTGGTCAGATTCATATTTTCTGAATTATTAAAATACTGGTGCCAGGAGAATGCAGTGTACATGGTTCAGTGCTCATAAATGGCTGCTGAGATAGTATTCTCACTTGAAATGGCACAGAAGCTTGGACCTGGAAATAGTATTCAGTACATCACGTCTTAACAAGCAGATAATTTTTCATGATAATATTGCAAACAGCTTCCATATTTCATATCCATATCAGTGGAATTCTCTGTCCTAAAGTGTTACACAGATTTACAGACCACTAACTTGATAATGTAATTTTAGATATTGCCCTTGGCCACCGACGTGATTGAGTGATTTATGGTTTCGCATTTAATTATAATGTCCGCTTTATAATTCGACTCACCGGAACACTGTGTGAGATGTGCAGTCAAGACTAAATACTGTTTTTTCCTCTTCATAAAACATAAGACTACAGGTCTAACTCAGTCTATTTCCCATATCCAAACACCTCACAAGTGAAAATGAGAAACATTAGCAGATAATGTCACAAGATGTGGCTCTAATTTAAACTGGGATACCACACCTGCAGATGCTTCCAGAAAAATGCAGAATTTCTCCACATCCCATAACTTGTCTGAGCAACGAGGTGTAAAGCACTGAATGAAATCTAGATACAACCGGCTTCCAGTATGAGGTCACTCAGCTGCTCTGGCACAAGAACATGGCCCCCTTATGACTTGCTATATAAAGAGAGGGAGAGATAGCTCAGGAAGCATAGAAAGGAAGATTGGTTGGTTATAAAGAAGGAAAAAGGAAACAGCTTTATTAGTAGAACCGTGTGTTCTCAACAATAAAATACATGTATCAAAGAACTCTTTGTGCTACATTGCCATACCTTTCCTCTGATTTAACCAACAGGATGACCTTCATGCAATGTCTGAAAAAAAAAAAAAAAAAAAAAATGGCTTCCAAAATTCTGAAGTCCATTGAAAAAAAATAAAAAATAGAAAGGATGCATTTGCACTCCCGATGGCTCTTATAATTAGCATACCCACCTGATTTATACAAATCATTAATGCATTCGAAGAGCTGCTACATTCCATTATCAAATGCATCACTCCACCTCTTAACCATGGGAAAGACTTACACAGCATTCCCCTCCTGTGTGGCACAGCGAGAACACAACTAATGTAGCCTAATTACTCGCATATGCTGGGGGAGTAAACCAACTACCATGTACAAATGAAAAATAGCACCAAACCTGTTTCACTCTCCTTGCCTTTAATTTAGTTCCCAGCTAATGATGCCTTCCCACACAAGCTCACTAAATATGTAGATTCTAACATGCATAAATACACTGAAGCTCACCTCTATCCCTGCACCCTTGAGAAACATGGAAGCTACACAAATGCACCTAGATGCACGCGGTGAACTGACAAACACCTCCACAAGCACACAAACCCATAATCAGCACGCTATTGGCAAATTGTGCAGTCTCTGCACTTCTCTAGAGATGCTGGGAAATGGGATGGTTCTGTTGTTGGAGTAGCCATGCTTTCCTGCAACGACACTTTGAATAATTAAATAGTAGCCAGCATGTGCATCCCTCTCTCTCCTCACTCAACAAACTCTTCTAACAGATGGGAAGAGTGGTGCAGAGTGGAATCATTCAATCACTTTCTCATCATTCTTCTCACTGTCTCACTCCACAGTGCCTGGAGTAAAAACAAGCTAAGTGTTTTAACGTGATCGGACGAGAGGTCAGGGGTGAACTAGAACTAAAAGAGAGCACAGAGTTTGTGTTATGATTTTACTGACTTGGTTAACTTGAAATGGACTCTGTGGTGCTCTTAAAGAGCAGGTCATATGGGTTTTTGAAGAATATCTCTTTTGCAGTTTATAACGTAGCTATCCTTAAATGAAAACAATCTGCAAAGTTGTTAATCAAAAAAGTGCATGATAAATAAAGATATTGTCTCTCAAAAGAGAGAGCCGATTCTGAATCGCCTTAACGAGTCGTCACATTTTCGAATCTTTTGCCTGTTTGCCTGTATACGTCACTGGGTAACACATTTGCATAATCCCCCCCTGCCCGCGAGTCTGACCTGCCCACAAACACTTCCACTAGTTAGTGTGTTTACATCATGTTGAGAAGACGCTGTGTTCAAGGATACCACAGAAATACAATTCGAACCTTTTGTTGTGTGCTCATCATTTTACCAAGGACTGCTTCTCTAATCTTGGTTTTTATCTTTGTTGGCTTCTAATTGTCTTAATTTGGACTAACAAGCTCTCCGAACCACAACCTGTAAGTACAATTGATACGTTATGTGTGCATTTTCAATTGAGTGTTTAAAATATCAAGTTTTTTGCTAATATGTGATGTATACCTAGTGCAGGCTTAGGTTTCCAGGTAAAGCACGAGATTACTGTCTTACTGAAGTAGTTCTGATAATTCGCTGTGAACTCACTATTTCCTAAGAATGTGTCGATTAATGTAGACTGACGTTGTTCTAATTACTTTGTTTAATAATAAAGAATGTAGTGTAGCACACAGACTTTATAATTATTGCGAAATTGCTGTTCATTTTGCTGCACCGACAGATATAGGGTTAATGCGGACGAGACGAGTGAGTTAGTTAGGCTGGTGCGCCTGTGATACAGCTGTTCTGCGTTCTGATTAAAAGTTAAGACACAGCGTCTTTTGTCTGTCGTTCTTCAAACATTACAGTAGACATATTTTGGTTTACAAACTGTATTGTTTCATCAGTTAGTTACGTTAGCACTAACGTATCCACCATTATTGTTTTAAGTGTTTAACGTTACAGTTTAGCAGCTAATCTTTAGCTGTGCCAATCAGAGCAGAGTAGGCTTATGGAAGGGAGGGGTTTGCTCCGAAATTGCTTAGAACGAATCGTTTCAAAATCATTGGCAAATTACTCTAATATTAAATGTATATTCTGAGAAAATTACAATGTTTTCTGACCTTAGATGCATTTAAACCTGTTGTAGGGGACTCCCAACACAATATTAGGACACTTTAAAATACCATATGACCTGCTCTTTAAAATAACACGTCTAGTCAGTGAGGAGATGTGTGGTCAGGCAGATAGCAGGAGAAATGGGACGGGGCCTTGGGCAGCAGAGAAGGAAGTACAACGCAGAAGGCTGCTGGGAAAAAGTTCCCTGCTAGGACACAAATAATTTTCAATGAGATTGCTGGGCGGAACTCAGAGAGGGAGCAATCCTGTAAAACTGCTGTGAATGTGAAACAGATAAGTGAAGTGGGTGTCTGCGGGCAATGTGCCAAAATTTGAAGCTTAAATGGGCTGTCCTAGTAGAAACTTTGTATATTTACATCAAATTTAGTTTTGAAAGCTGGTGTTGTTAAAAATCGGGTCCTTCCTTAAAACCGGGCCCTCATCAACTATTAATTAAAGGGATAGTTCATCCAAAAATAAAAAAAATATCCCATAATTTACTCACCCCCATCCATGACTTTCTTCTTTCAGAGGAATACAATTGGAGTTATATTAAAAAATGTCTCGACTCTTCCAAGCTTTATAATGGCAGTGAATGGCTGTAATTTCTAGCTTCCGCTAACTGTTGTACATGTGTACACAAGAGAGTGGCGTGAAAGAGTGACACCACTCTTTCGTGAACGTACGTATGAGTTAGCAGAAGCTAGAATTTATGGTTTATAAAGTTTTAAATATGGATATTTTTCTTGCACAAATGCATTGATTTGCTTCAGGAGGCCTTTATTAACCCCCCGGAGCCGTGTGGAGCACTTTTTATGATGTAGGCCTATTTATGCACTTTATTAGACTTCTATTGGACTATTGAATATCAACAACCATTCACTGCCATTATAAAGCTTGGAAGAGCCAGGACATTTTTTAATATAACTCAGACGGTATTCATCTAAAAGAATAAAGTCTTATACACCTAGGATGTCTTGAGGGTGAGCAAATCATGGGTTAATTTTCATTTTTGGGTGAACTATCCCTTTAGTTTTACAAACTACACACAAACAACATTCATTTAAAATATGTAGGCTATATGGCTGCTTATACTATACAGTTCATAAAATTGGACAAAGTAATATATTTCTATATACAATATATTACTTTTAATAAATAATGATAACATTATTAATAAGAAATAATAATATAATTATTTATAATAAAAATATTAATAATAAAAAGTTATTACATCGTCATCATTAATACCTGGAATATTTGGATATTTAACATGTAATTATACTAAAATTGGTTGCGAATACATGTAGGGTAAGCGCAAAAGCATAGTGTATAAGCTAAGCTATCAGGCTAATCGGGTATCTTCATTCTATGCTAGCATGTAAGCTTACTAAAACACACATTAAATGGACATTATACTGTAACATAGTTCAAACTACATAATCATAATGTGATTTGGGGATTGTAATCAGGCACTAAAGAGAGCACTCTGTTCTCTGTGCCAACAGGATCACTTGGGGTCCTAATGGAGACCGGATTTCTCATTATACTGACCTGCTGTTCAAGTCAACCGGTCTTCCGGAAAACATCGCAGTACTGCCTATGGTTAGTCCATTCTGTGGCCGGGTCACGTTGGTCACTAGTTAAAGGAGACATATTATGCCCCTTTTTACAATATGTAATATTAGTCTCTGGTGTCCCCAGAATGTGTCTGTGAAGTTTCAGCTCAAAATACCCCACAGATCATTTATTATATCATTTTGAAAATGCCTATTTTGAGTGGAAGCAGAAACATG